TCTGTGTGTGTGTGTGTGTGTCTGCGTGTGCGTTTCTGCGTGTCAGTTTCTCTCTCTCTCTCTCTCTCTCTCTCTCTCTCTCTCTCTCTCTCTCTCTCTCTCTCTCTCTCTCTGTGTGTGTGTGTGTGTGTGTGCGTGTTGATGATAAAAAACCCGCCCATTGAACCGTAGCGAGAAAGGGAGAAAAGGGCAAAAGTCATCCAACTTTGAACCATTAGTCAAGCAACTGAACCCTCAACGATCTGTAAGCCTCCTCCCACACGCTAAAAGCCACGATCGGTGTATACAGAGTTGTATACATACACCGTTCTTGAAGTCGTATAGGTAGATGCATAGTGCTACAGAACTCTGCCATTAAGAAAAGGAAGGAGGGATTTCGAAAAGGAAGGAGTGAAACTGGGGCAAGATAAAGCGGCAGAAAGACTGTTTCGTTTCGCCAACTCCGACGCTGAATCAGAAGGCTGGACCCTCGACAATCCAGCGGATTCGCAGACACGTCACCAGGGAATTCTACTTACAATTTGTCCTTTACTCCCCACCCCCGCCTTCCCTCAGCCCAACCTTTCCTCCCCCTAGCTCTCTCCTTACCCCCCCAAATACAAGATAGCGTCCAATCGACTTCGTTCAACCTGTTCCAGCAAAGGCCATGATTGGGAGAGAGCCGGCAAGGGAAAACAGAAAAGCATTCTTTCGCAGGTTCGCGGGAAAAAAAAAAACAAAAAAACAAAAAAAAAACACAAGGCCAGCGAATTTTCGTCATTGAGTTGAGCTGACCGGCCCCAGGTAATTCAGAATAAAATTTTATTCTGTTCATCTGATTGCAGCTGGATCCGAACTTCGGTCTATATTTCAGCAGTTCATTTGGTGTACCAACTGAGCTACCGTCTTCCCACGAACACAACGCACCCTCATTCTGACTGTATCTGGCCGTTAACATACCTCGTATACGTTCCTTTTCGGGGTGCGTTATGTTCAGGGGAAGACGGTAGGCCGGCTCCCCTGCCTGCGAATTTTCGCAAAAATTACAAGCTGTTACCAAGGACTTGGAAAAATAGAAAGAAAGAAAAAATAGACTGCCACGTCAGCAGACTAACGACTCAGACGACTTTCCAGAATCGTCAAGCCATGATCGGATCGAACGGCAGGCAACATAGCTGGCGCGCAGTAGGATAATCTGAGTTTTTTTTCCTAAAAAGGAAAGGAGTCCATGATCGGCTTGATCCACCCGTCGTCGCAAGGGTTACATCAAATCTGACGCGACGATTGCGTTGATTCCGAACCGTCACATCTTAATCAGTAGTAGTAATATAATATAACATTAACAATAATATAATAATAATATAATCCAAGATCGGACTTTGATTATAATATAATAATAACAATACCAATAATGATATAATCCAAGATCGGACCTTGATTTAGTTGTTTTTTTTTTTTCCGAGACTTAAATTTTTGAGTTAAGCCATGCTGATCGAACGGTGAAACACTTTATAAGAGTCGGTGAAACTCCGACGAAACAGTCCGCCACAGCCCCACGTTTGCTGTCCTCTTCTCCCTCGATGTCTACGGTTTACCGGGCAGTTCTGTTTGATCATACATACATACATATGGCAATAAATCGTCTTGCCAATCAACCAACAAAAAAGATCAATCGAAGACCGAAAAATGAAAGAAAAAGAAAGGCTCTAGCATGCATCAAACTAAACCCGCCTTTTTCTGATCCTCCTCACCTTTCGGCACTTACACACAACCATCGGTCCAAGTCGATGCTCTCTCTCTCTCTCTCTCTCTCTCTCTCTCTCTCTCTCTCTCTCTCTCTCTCTCTCTCTCTCTCTCTCTCTCTCTGTGTGAGAGTGAGCAAGCCACGTGTCACGCCCTTGAGATCAAGTGTCTGGACAGAGTCCACGTGTCATATACTGCACTGCAACGCCCCTCCTGTCCACGTGTCACTCTCTGCGAACATGTTTGGGTATGCTTCGCTGGCTGTGACGTCGTCTCAGTCCCGTTCTTCCGCGGACCTTCCGCTCGGTCAACGTCGTCTCAGGCACGTTCTTCCGCGGACCTTCCGCTCGGTCAACTTTCTCGATCTCTTGCCTCCCATACGTCCTCCGCTTCCGACTGTCAGCCAAGTTGGCACTGTTCGTTGCACGCCGCGTCCGTACCCCACGCTGACCTGTCCCCCTCTCTCATGCCCGCCCCTCTCCCCCCCCGCTTACCAGTAGTCTCCACTGGCCTACCGTCTAGCACCCCCTTCGCCGACGATCGGACGGATACAAACGAATGTTGGAAAATCGGAAAAACTCCGTTTTCGCCCGCCCGCGCTTCTCTTGCCTTCCCCGCCCACAGCGCACCCGCTACCTAACCCTGCCCGAAGCTAAACAAAGAGCACCGCCTTTGCGGTCCTGATGTCATAACCCCCAAAAGACGTAAGTACGTTCTCTTTTTCTCGGTACCCTCTCGTTACTCTACCACTAATCCTGAGCCTATACAGGGGACTCCTGCAAGCATAGCGGCCTCTCACAATCAAGAGGATGCATGTTGTCCCCCGCCTAATCGGTGGTGGTCAGGGAGTAAGGGGGGCTGTACAGCCGATTAGCTCAGCGGGTAGAGCAGAGGTTGGAAACGCATTGTGGCTTGAGGCTGTGGGTTCAAAACCCTTCACCCTCATAACGGGCCTCGACCGACGCACGGCTGTGCACAGCAATCCTTTGGGTTGGTCGACGGTAAGGATAAAAAAAAAAAAAAAAAAATTACAGACTGCCTGCACCGCCCAAGGGATTCAGGAAAGGATTGTTGTATGTCGGGTAGGGTGCCTCAGGACGTTGGCCACAGGTTGTTCGAGTCCTATCTCCGCACTCTGGCATACGGCACATTGGGTCCATTTGAGATCGTAGCATACATGATTGAGCACAGCTCTTACAAGATGATGGGCATGGGTTCGAGTCCGACTTTGGACTTCGTGAGGGGTTTCTAGTACAGATAGGCCTATCATATACAGAATAGCACAACTCTTACACAGCCTACAGACACGGATACATAGCTTATGGGCACAACATACAGTCTATGGACAGACAAATAGCCTACAAATAGGGGCACAACACACAACCTATGGGCATAACACAGCCTACAGGCACAATGCACAGCCTTACGGGCACACACATACAGCGTATGAGCACCCATACAGCCTACGGCCACACACACAGTTAGCTACCGGGAAGGGGTACCCAGTCCTTGCGAGGGGTGTCATAGAGTAGATCTGCGCTTGGGGGGGCATCAGATATGGTCCGCGATATGCTTGGTAGGGGTGAGGGTAGTAGGTGGGGCCGATAGAAACACTGCCTGAGCCTGGCGTCCGAATTACCCATGTGACAATTACGCTCACCCGATCATGTGCTTCAACCAGGGCTGGGTGGTGTATCTGCCTAGCCCTGGTGCCTATAACTGTTGTCCAGTCAAAGTCACCTGGTGGGATTATAGTCCTGAATGATAGTGGGAATAGGTGTACGCTGAGAGAATGGACTGGAGGATGGGTAGGGAGGCGGTCCCAAAAATCAAAATTGTGCGGACAACCAATGGCAGACTGATGACTACGACCACCATATGGGATCTAGCCTCAACAACCTGCAAAAAAAAAAGGGGGGGGGCTGCCGGTGGAGGGGGTCTGGCTAACACAAAGACGAAGCATTTTGCCGGTAGTTGCACCTCCGATGTACATCCCCCACCCCCATTGACTAACAACAGTGTTTGTGGACAGCACACACACACACACACGTGATGGCCAAAGACCCTACCAATACGGACAAGAAAGCAGCAAGCCAACTATCTCATTTGGGATAAATATTCCACATATTAACAATGACGGTAGTGTCTTTTTTCCTTTTTTTTGCGGGGGGAGAGAAAGTTTTCACATGTTTACAATGTTGGGAAGTGAGCAAGCAGCCTAGATTTTTTAAACCACCAGTACCTTTCCCTGCTTGAAAAACAATACGCGCCAGTTAACACGGCGCGGTCGGGCGAAACACGTTCGGTAGCTAACCAATGACTGCTAAAAATAAAATAAAATAAAATAATAATAAAAAAATGGAAAAAAAAGAGAAAAAAAAAGAAAAAAACTAAAAAAAAGAAAAAAAAATGCGAACGGGCGCGGGAAGATTCGATGACAGTGTGTGTGTGGGGAGAGAGAGAGAGAGAGAATTCGTTGGTGATGTGCGCGCATCGCCGACGTTTTTTTTCTCTCTCTCTCTCTCTCTCTCTCTCTCTCTCTCTCTCTCTCTCTCTCTCTCTCTCTCTCTCTCTCTCTCTCTTGCCGTGCTGAACTACTACAACGAGAGAATGAATCTTTCATGCCATTTACGAAATATTCATTCTCTTGTTGTATTAGTTATAGGCATGTGCACCCTCATCACACCAAGTTGCATTGGCCATCTGTGTGGATTATCTCGATCATCGTTAGGGATCTAACTGGTTACCTTATCCTCATTGGATATTACCAGTTGCCAACTACCACGCATTGATCACAATCTGACGTGATTGGCCATAGTTGTCATCATATCATGGAGGTTATCTGTATATCATACATACGGATACATGCCCACAGACCCACATACACGCTTTGCACGAGTACCCCTTCCCATTTAACCCACCCCTCCATGGAACAATTGAAGCTCTCAATAAATCCTGCTATAGAGGTGAAGTATGTGCATTGAAGACGGTGTTTTTAAATACCGTTGTTTCCATCCATACTTCGACTATCTTTTTCGCATGTAAGGACTGATCGCACCATAGCCTTAGTGCTTCAAATTCATAGTTTGTCCCTATAAGCCAAAACAATGGAGGTATATTAGTAGCACAGAGAGGAAAAATGTACATTCTTTATACCACCACCACCTTTCACATTGGAGAGCTAAGCTTCGTGGGTCAACGAAGGCGGAACGCCACCAGACCCAGAAGGTTGGTGGCGCCAATCAAAACAAAAGGAAATAGGTTGCCTTGGCGCTTCAACTAAGTTTGGCACACAATTTTGCATAGGCTCAGCAATAAGCGGCTCAGAGGTGATGGTGGTTTAACGACCATCATTGCTTTGCTCTCTCTCTCCCTCTGTGTGTATATATCTATATATACATCTATATATATATATATTATAATATTTGTATATATATATATGTATGTATATATATATATATCCTTGTGAAAAAATTGTCAAATCAAGTGCAATCAATATTTTGCAACAAGCTACCCACAACCTAAGACCAAGCCTAAAAAACTTCGGAGTTTCAAGATATTTTGGTGCCTCTTCGGGCCTCTACTCATAAGATAAGATTAATTTTATGCTTTTCAAAGCTACCAATAAGAAAACAAAATTAGTATCGGTCCTCCGCAAAATTCGAAGCATCCGTCATTGCACAACTTTCACCCCAGTTATACCCAATTTTTGGTGGTCGTGCGACCCAAAACTTTGCACTACCTTGACTCAAATGAGGCAACCCATTATACCGCAACCTTGGGGCTGCAAATACCTACATGGGTATTAAACCCACGTATACCCACGTAGGTATAAGCCCGAGTATACCCACGTTGTCGGTGTGAATACCCTTACAAGGGTATCTGCCCTAGTTTTTGCAAGCGACAGAAAAAAAAAA